GTGGCACAAGATCAACAGGAACTAAATAAATACAACATGTCTGTACCACATGGTTAACAGGTACTTAAATATAGTAAATACCAATACGCCAGTGGCACAAGATCAACAGGAACTAAATAAATACAACATGTCTGTACCACATGGTTAACAGGTACTTAAATATAGTAAATACCAATACCCCAGTGGCACTAGATCAACAGGAACTAAATGAATACAATATGTCTGTACCACATGGTTAACAGGTACTTAAATATAATAAATACCAATACCCCAGTGGCACAAGATCAACAGGAACTAAATAAATACAACATGTCTGTACCACATGGTTAACAGGTACTTAAATATAGTAAATACCAATACCCCAGTGGCACAAGATCAACAGGAACTAAATAAATACAATATGTCTGTACCACATGGTTAACAGGTACTTAAATATAGTAAATACCAATACGCCAGTGGCACTAGATCAACAGGAACTAAATGAATACAATATGTCTGTACCACATGGTTAACAGGTACTTAAATATCAGAAATAACAATACGCCAGTGGTACAAGATCAACAGGAACTAAATAAATACAATATGTCTGTACCACATGGTTAACAGGTACCTAAATATAGTAAATACCAAAATCCCCAGTGGCACTAGATCAACAGGAACTAAATAAATACAATATGTCTGTACCACATGGATCTAAACAATAACCTAAAGGCAAAACTTATTTTACTGATTTAAACTGCATAGGATATATGTGACTTATCACTTGAGAAACTTGATCATATTGTATTCTTAATTCAGCCTTAATGTTAGGTCATTCCTCCAATCAATCATCTTTTACTTTTATTCATGAATCACTTCTTCCAGTCATATAGATAAGCAATTATTGTTCCATTGGTAAATTAGCGTTAATTTGCATTTATTCTGAAACCAACGTTTATACATTTTCCTTGAATCCTTCTATCTAAGAAAGCGTATTTTCATATTTTAGCTGATAAATCACGTCTATATTTGTTACACGCATACACATACTGTATTATAAGATTATAAGATACATCTATACATACTAGAACAATTTTCTATCTTCCTGTGACCCCAGCTGTTTAGAGAACGTGAAGCCATGAGAAAAACACGTAGAAAAAAATGATTATTTTTAGATACTACCTGCACAGACCAACAATTACTTGAGGCCGATGCAGTCTACAACACATTGCATACATCAGATCTGCTGGCGCAAACAACAGCAAATAGATTGAACTGAAATGTATCACTAACCAATGGCACACACGTATATCTTGTTGGTAATAATATAACTTATCGAATGTAGTATACTATACACAGTACAGCCACTCAAACATCTCTAAACAACATGCCACATTAAATGAGCACACACAATACAGAGAAACCATTGTAAGTGTGACAGTACTATGTGAGACAATATAAGAAATCGTCATTAAAGCTTTGTATCAGCATTTAAAAACTTGATACTATCTTAAGGACATTTCTGTCACTATTGTCTACCAAATGGTATTTTCATCACACTATCTATTATCACTATTTGATAAACTAGCATAACATGTTAATTTTGATTATTTTAGTTAATTTCTACTTAATATTTTAGAATATATACATTTTATGTTGCTTGGTGGCGTTAGAAATGCTAATATGTGAAAGGGAAATAACTGTGGTGTATAAGAATTCAACTGCTTTTTTCGTAGGAAGCGAACGCAATAATTTGAAACTTTGATCACATGTATTGTTTTTACAACTTAAGGAAATACCAAAAAACGAATTTAAATTCAGTCGCAACTACTTTATCAGAAATTGTTTTTCTCTTGTTCAATATTTCATATTTCTAAACATCCCATTACTGCAAACGGAAAGTAAAGCTTATAAATATTGGTACATTGGTCAAGGTGATCTAAAATTATATTAAATTCCTGTTATCAGAGCAATGCTATTGTAGCCAGAGAGTAGTCTATTAAAACAATCTAAATGTAAGCTTATTTCTTTCAAACATAAAGCTCAATTATTACAAAATGCCATTTGAATATTGAAACATCCAGTAACAGATTTTGAAGAAAAAAAACATTTTCACATAACAGTACATGATTATAAAGAATATATATTAACATACACATACACATGTATTATCAATAGGCCATTCCATTGATTATATAAGGTAGCCAATGGAATGGAATACATATTTTGATAAAATAAACAAACGGTCATTATTGTGTTTAAAAAATTGTATCGAAACATCGTTCTATAATCGAACACTTATATATTAATTTTAATATATCTATAAAAAATGTATTTATTTAATTATTGATTCAAAGAAAATCAATATTGTGTTTGATCAATGCCATTTTAAGATGGATGATTAAACAAACATTTAAATATTATTTTATATCTAATACATTTTCTTATGTTCACATAAGCCAAGCCACAATAGTTAAATAATAAAGCCAGATTTAACAGCATCGAACATGTAGTAACAGATTTACATGTCATTAACAAACATCGAAATGTCGGACAAGTTATGTTGTAGATAAGATTTAGAACTGTGAAATTGTTTTGTTTTAAATATAGAACTCACATTCTTTTATTAATACCATCAAATTGTAAAACAAAATGTTTAATGTATTTCAAGTGAGTTATATTTGGCCATATCATTATTCGGAGAGCAACTAAGTCAGGCGAGGATAAAAAAAAATGATATATTTACCAATCAGGCTACCTTTTCACACAGGGATTAAGAATTTGCGAAATAACTCTGATATATTTCAATTATATTCGACACATTGCAGATCTCGATTAGATTATACAAACTGCGATGGAAACCTGCCACACCTGTTTCACTTCACAAGTCTTTACTTAATGGGACCTACGGTAATGTTGACATTGCTCTTCATAAGTAACTGGTTACTCGAGAGAGAAAAAATACACAGTAATGTTTACATATTGTACGTACAAACAAAAATAAAAATTGGCGGGTATCCTCACAAGATCTTCAGCCGACAGGTAAAACAGAAAAGATAAATATAACTTAGTTTGCAGTATTAATTTTCATAAAGTAAATTTAGGTATGTTGAAAATTCAGATATCTCTTTGTTGATTAAATATAATATATATATTCGATTTCGTATGTTTGAACGGTTAATCGATTGTTAAAAGCAGTGTTTTAGTAAATATTTCGTTTATCACTTAAATGCACTAGCAAACAACTCAGTGTCACACTAAATACATTTACCTGTTTATATTACTGTCCATAAACATTTTAGGCCATCTTTTAAAATATTCCGCAAATCTAATTTAATTAATATTTATATTAAATGTAATTGCGTATGATTCAAATTGATTTTTTTTGGCCTTATTAATGTCTTATTTGTAATAAAACAAGTCTATGGAATACTCGAAACACAAAATTCTCCGAGAGATGAATTTGTGTGTCCTAGAGCAGAAAGTAACACTTTATAATAAAAGAAATATAAAATGATATTACTCTGTATGTATAAACAAACAAAAAAAATGCTACAGAGAGAGCATTTTTTGTGAAAAACATATTTTTGTGCAGATGTGAGGATTCACTTAAATTTCATTTAGTTATCGGAGAATAACTTGTTAAAATAAAACCCTTTGTACAAAGCGTATGTTATACCTGTAGTAATTGTGTTTTTAAATCCATCGATATCGAATCACAATGCATCTTGTTCAGGTTATCTATATAAATATTTATTAAAAGAAAAAAATCAACACAATCCGCCAATAGCACATGTCGCATGTTTTAGAGTAATAAAAAACACAGTTGATGCTGAAACTTGCCTACATGTACTCTTGCTTCAGCCGGCACTAATGAATACCAAAATGAAAAATTCTATCTCACATGCAAGTGGTAATCAAGGACAGTTTACAAGTTCTGAAAAATGTTGTAACATAATGTGTAATTAGCAAAGCACCATGTACAATTTTTTATGTCATATACCAATAAAGATTTAGCACGTGGATATTTGTGTTCGAAGTAGTATAGCATGTCTCGCCCTCGTTCGCGTATACAGACATTCATTGTCACGGGCACCTTTATCAATATCGATATACGATTTCCATAACCTGGAAGCGTCTTTGTAAATTAATGAATTTGAGATATCCGCGAAAACAAACATTAAAGGCAAGGAAACATTTCCGTTGTGCCTTGATTGTTTCCCGATCAGGCGGGAGCCTCTATTGACTGGCGATAGGTGCCGTTCACCGGGGCATGCGATCTCTGCATCAATTATAGAGGTACACTGGTCTCTGTCAGCTACTAACAACCTAATCTAATTTCAAATAATGATACATTTGTGGATGTTAGACCAGCCTAATTAAGTTAAGGAATTAATGGCCGTATTTGACCTAAACATCAAAGACAGGAATTTAAGTCGACAAACTGTGTAATGTTTCACATCATTATGTCAAACAAACATCAACTATGGCGTTTCCTTCGTCTTTCTGCCATTATGTTCAGCATTTAAGTGCGTTTTATGGTTGCAAGCTTTTTTGAATTGGCGTTAATCGATTACAAATTAGATATCGCACGTGCTGGATGGTATCGATGTATTGTGAAAGTGATTTACTCTCCATCCGCTAATGCCGATGCGACGTATGATAATGTCCATTTCATAGGTGAAACGAACATTGCGCCTGTCACCAGTAATTATATCTTATAGCCAAGCTATCACATCGTGGTGTCGTGGGCCTGGCTTCTTTGTCTCATTTGTCTGATTAATTGGGGATTACATGCTGAAAACTAAATTATTGGAAGTGGTTGGAAATCGGGAATGAGACTAAATTCTCTAATATTACAAATTATGATAAAGCACTTCGATTTTTGATGAAGTAGAGCTCAGTGACTATTTCCAATGGTTTGGCAAATTACATTACCTACAGGAATCATACATGAGGCCCATGAATGTGGTGTTATCATTTGATCCGCTGACTGCCGCATTGAAAAGACCATTCGGAGGCGGCGGCGAGTGTGTGATGCTATAGTGTTATTCGGGTCTTACACAGCAGCTGGTACTTAGCAGGGAAAACACTGAGGTCTACCGAACGAGGTTTGTGGTATATTTTCTTCTCATATTACTTCATGCCTCATTATTTCATTTGTTCTTTTTTCATAATTTTTATAATGAAGAGTTTTGTCTGCTAAAAACACTTTAAAGGTAAAAGAGTAAACATCAAATGCTATTTTTAAAATTGTTAGGTTTAAATGGACAAGAAAAAGTAGACATAAACTGAAGTGGATATATACTTTTGTTTAATATACAGTGAAATAAATTATTTCAGTTGAAATGTGATGATATATTTTAAATCTCTTTATCTTACAAAAGGAGAATCAGAATTTGTAGATATATTTTTATAAGTCTTAATACGTTTTCAATTGGCTTTTCTAGAATAGTTTTATACAAATTTGCTATAATGAAACCCCACTAAAAGTCTGGCTATTGCATATTTGAAGTTAAATTGGTTAACTCCAGCGTTACAAATAGTTTTTCGAGATTTGCTGCATACGCCGACGGAAGTCGACTGGGTAAATTATTAATTCACTTTATCAAATTATAAAAACAAAATTTTCAAAGGGCAGACTCATTCCCTAGAAAAATTTAGTGGTTGAAGTGAATATGATTTTTCGTCTTTTATTGTATTATAGGAGCAAATGGCTTTTTAAGTCGGGTAGTGACATATGATGATCAGACTATAATTTGAAATGTCTGCAGTAGTATACGTCACGTTCTAAAGACTGTCTATATATTTACCGCTGTATTAATCTATTGTTTGACGGCACGGGGCTAAGGTATATTTGAATGTGCTCTCGACTTGCAGCTGAACGGTACTAGCAGTGCCATCCTATCTATTGGGATCACGTCTGGAGAATTCAAAGTAAAGACAACAGACGTTCTACGCTTCGGAGTCCTTCAGCTGACATAATGTTTTGTTTCCACTGTCCACCTACTCTCCATCCCGCAGCTAGACAATTCGGAATGGACCTTGCTTATCAGCACCACCACCCATGTAAGTAACCATCCGAGTGCCACATACAGTGTTTCTTTTTTATTTTGCCTTCCGGTTTTTAAAAATTCTTCTGGGAAGTAAAACAACGCGTAAGAAGCTGTGTATTATGACATGGTACGTAAATACATACATGTTGAAGGGACAGCAACTAGGTGACAGATTAAGAAAGGATACATACTTGTATTAGTATATTTGGTGTATTGTTTTACGTTTTAAATAGCTGACATTTAAAGTTCATGATCCATATTAAAATTGACACTTTGGCAGATCATTTAAAAATCATGATACAGTGGTACATGGTAACATTTGATAACGCGTTATTCAAACGTGAAATGGACATTTTATATAACATGTCGCTCTTCAAGCAAACAGCTGTAATTAATGAGTGTTTCTGTTGCCTCCTGGTAAGATGATTGCGGCACCCAATGCTAATTTTATAGGAATCCTCTGTCACTTCACTTTGATTTCTGTGTTACGCGATGTGTACCCGATAAATCTCTAATTCTACCGGATAAAAGGAACAAAACTGTTTCAAAAATGTCTCTTGAAAAAGGAGTAATTTATAAGGACTATCTATTCTATAAAAGAAGTATGTTTTCATCGTAAATCAATATGGGACATAGAAGTTGGCCTTCCTAATTTGATTCTTCTTCTTCCAGAAGCAATATACTTTACCATCTGAATCATCAATAATTGTCATTTCTATATTTTCCTTAGATTATCTAGGCACTGCACTGATATTAGCAAACATTTTATTGTCAATTGCTGTACAAATGAATCCATAAACTAGGCTATATTGATATCGATATACCCTCAGCGTCATATTCTTATAAATATTATTTTAATGACGGAATCATCTGTTTGATATACATAGCTTCAAAAAACATTTACAACCATGATTATATGTTTATCATAAAGATTATTGACTTCGAACAGATGATTTGTCTCGATTTTTTTGGAATGTCGAATGGTGCATTTAATTTCGTTTAGAGATTATTTTATTTCTTTTTTTTTCGATTAGTTTTTTTTTTATTGTTTAATAAGTTTTTATAGCGGGCAGGTAAATCAGCTAATTTCATGTCTTTGCATATAAAAATATTTTGTTACAAGTGAAAAGAAACAAATACCAGACATTTGATCTTGTCCATAAATATAATAAGACTTTAACATAACATGTCTATTAGATAAGTGATGATAACGTTTGGATGTGGATAAAATTCCTGTAGTATTTGTGGTGTCATTCTGAAAAATTAACGACAATTTGTTGGGACTGTAGCATACCACTGCATTGTGTTATATAAACAAGCTATCTAAAGGGACTATCCACCATTCTCTAACTTATTAGAGTACCATATACTACATTTCCGGCTATATTTGGTGTCGACTCTGTTTTTGAACGATCATTCTATTACTGACATTACTATAAGCCACGATGCCCTATCGTATGATTTCCTACAATATGGTTGATGTGTGACTGTAACATCACATGTAGAACTAATACTTGTCTTTTTAAAGAACATATTTCATTTAAACGATGATATTAAACATGTCCATTGCACGTGAAAACATCATTTTGTTGCAATTATAGATTTTCTTTATCTCTTTATGAAACCTACTCATGGTAGATATAACTGTTATCTTCAATTTTTAAAAGAATATTTTGTTATGTTTACTTGTAATGAAGACGGACGTGGGAGTGCGTCTATCCGAAATCTACATTCCACAAACAGACTGACTATGTTCGTGTTTTCAAGAACATTGCATTATAGCACGATTTGTAGACGCAGCGTTAAACTGCATTTTTATTTCAATTTCTACAAAATTGAATGTGCTTCTATCTTTAATTTAATATTCTTGCTAGATGTTCATATTTTGCGTTTAATTTTCCATATAGAATATGACAAGTTGGGAATCAATAGGCACACAATGGCTTTGTATTCCCCTTTAAATCCATATCTATTTGTTACTAGCCACAGGGGTAAACTCCATTGAATTTAGATATGACAAATTTAATAATATTCATATTAATTAGGTTAGAGATTGCTTTATTCACATCTCTCCAAATTGATATTGATCAGTTATATCACATTCGTTAGATGATGCGTTCAAAATTGATTAAATATAGTCAAATTACTGACAAGTGACGTATGACATCACTTCTGCTTGTGTCGCTCACGACCAATAACCCTACCAGGGGGTTATGGAACTTTCCCCGTATCTGGCTTAGACCGCTCTATCTGATAACCCGACACTGCACCAGGTTCGATAGATCGTCAAGGTGTCCTGCTCCTTGGTTAACTGACATTAGTTCAATAATGTCTGTAAGACTGAACTAGCGATGTGCTAAAGTGAAGGCTAAAACATATAAGGAATAGATATCGAGATTTCTGGAACAAAATTATAAAGAAGTTGATTTGCATGTCATTACAGAATAGTAAGGTAATTAAAGATCAGATCAAATACAGCATTCCGTCTGAATTCAATTTGCTATATACCTGATTACCGAGATATTGAAAGGAAAAGCATGCGGAAAATTCATTTTGCAACAAAAAGGAAATATCAAAACAACTAAGGCATAATGACATGTGTCAATATATTTTCTTAAAACGTATAATATATATATGAATATAAATAACTTGTTTTAATTGATATATAATCCCGTTTTCACTTTGTGCATATATAAAGTAGTATAACGTAATAGATGTGTTGTAAGGTGTCGTATAAGTTGACCTTGCAACAGTTAATAATGTAACAATGTGACGGTGTGACATCAACAAATCATCTCCATGCTTTATTGCTATTTAGAACTTTAATAATAAGGCACTGTCTATTATCTATATATGACCAGTATCAAACTGTCTAATATGTGTTGTGCTGTCAAAGTAACCCACGCTGATATCAGAAAAGGGCATATACATGCATATATCTGATTATCCAATAACACTTTAAATTTTCTATTTCTCATATAATGTTTATCATGTCTTGTCAGTAATTATTTATAAAAGATTTTTTATCATAAGACGTACATTTTTGAAATGATAATTAACGGTTACACTATGCAATTTGAAATATAATGTACGTAGCCTGATGATATTTTTGTTAACATACAACATTATTTTGAACATCTAATTTACCTGTCTGATTTCTCAACTTAATGTCACACACACCAAAATATCACACTTACCCTGTAAATACCAACGGTATATGGACACGCCCATGGCTTATGTCGATTACATTTCCCTAGTAAATGGAAACAAAATATAGACATCGCACGTGCCTTAAACAGTATACATGTATGTAAATTGTATCTGGATATGTAACTTCCTTATTAAATGTTAACAACAAGTTAATATATCTGTACTACACTTAATATCTATTTCACTTTCATCGTAAATGTCAATGATATCTTGACTTCGCCCTTCCGTAGTAAACATCCATTTCAATTTCTTAGAAGACGTCAACAATGCATTGACATAGATCTTGCTTACCTAGTAAATATAATAAATATTAGATCCTTTTTATGATAAATGTCAAAAAAATTCGGACGTAGCCATTCTATTGCAAAAATGAAAATATACCTGAAAATCAGAAACGTATTATTGATATATCATTTTCAAAGTAAATTTCATTTTATTTTTTAACTTATCTTTCACCTCTCTAGTGATTGTTCACAGTATTTTGTTTGTCATTTCCCTTGTTAATGTTAATTATACTTAGATATGTCACTTACCAAATGAATGCTGACATTATATTTAAATCTTACCGCGGAAGGTCAACAAATCATTGATATCGCACTTCCATAGTAAAGTCACCATTATCTACACATATCACTTCGATTGTGAATGTAATCAATATATGCACATTTCACTAAAATATGAACAATTCCCGGAAATACTTATTTCCTAGTTATTTCGCATCTCACCCACCGGTAAATATCAACAATATATAAATCAACACAGATGTATTACACACAGGAAACCTAAATAATGAGCAATTACATCAGTTGCAAAAGGAGTCACAAAATCTCAGCATATTTCTGGCGAAAATAATGAATTCATAGATCTGCTAATAATCAAATCTAGTTTAAGAGGGCGTAATCTATCATTATTGAAATCAATAATAAGCAAAATTTGTCTAGATGTTTTAGATGAATCATTTATAATATACAATCTTTTTGTTTGCCATTTGAAAGAATGATATTGATTATCATGTGTTAGCGCACTGCATCTTCGTTACTGTTGATATAAAGACAAAGACGTGGATGAGGAAACCACTTACTAAAACCACTAATAGGTTCATTTCAATTCTTTTGTACGGCAGGTCTTGAGGTTGAACGAAAACAAGAACTTTATAATGAACAATTAGAGAAAAATATAATAAATTACGGTAAATAACGGCTTTGTTACTGACTAACGTTCGTGTATTGGTTGTGCCGGACAGTTACACTATGTCCAACATACACGTGCATATCACAATAAAACAGGCACGTGCTTGTCACACCTGTACGGTATCCATATTCTCCGTGTCTGTCTACGAGATCTCAATTAGTCGGCAAAGGATCGTGTTATAAGTTTGGCCAGAATCGGCTAATAATTGAAAACATGGGGTCGTCGAAATGCCAATTATAAGTTTATGTTGAAGACCAGCTCTTAACGCTGTAGTGATCGGATCAGAATGCAATTCACGCCTAATTGACGTTCTCCACAACAAATTAATACACAAATTGAAGGAAATTATTATCTCCTAATTGTTTGCCTGATGGACAGTGACGGTAAGTTTTGTTTTTGTATCTTATCCTGACAGGTTAAGACGCTTTATGTGTCTAAAGTGAGACGTTTCCCTGAAATCTCCTTTTGGAATTTCTGCCACGACTCAGCGTAAGATGGTCAAATGTGTTTTGACATTTATAATGGCAGGAGTGCGCCTAAACCATCGAGCCATCTTACCTAACAGTTGGCTAGACAAAACAAACGCCAATCAAGACCATACTTTAAAAGTTA